ATATGTTATTATATTTATATTTTAGTTGCATTATTTTTAAATATACATTTATAAATAAATAAAATTATCTTTTTGTGCTTTAATAATGGGATGTATAAATTAAATACTCATGTATTTCAATTAACATTAATAGATAGTTTAAGGTCGGGTGGAACTTCTCAAGAGTACTTTAATATTTGGCACCAAAAAATATTCACAATATTTTGACATTAGAAAATATTCTTGGTATCGAAAATTTTCGGGTGCCGAAAATGTTTTTGGCACCCGAAAATGTTTTCGGCATCCGAAAATATTTCGGCATCCGAAAATAATTTCGGCACCCGAAAATATTTTCGACATCCGAAAATATTTACGGTTTAGGCAGCCGAAAATATTTTCGGCAATTTTTATTTTCGGCGAGCCAAAAACAATTTCGGCACCCATGTATAGCATCGATATTATTATTATGCTGTATGACTGATTCAATAAAAATAATAAATAAACAAGGGTAAGGGATATTGCAAATGGAGCTATTTATGCAATGCACTGTTATATTAATGCGTAAATAGTAGTCTAGTTTATATCATTTATATCAGTGATGGTTCACATGTAAAAGATGTTACGAAAACTGTACCACTAATCGTTGAACGAGTTCTCTGTGAAGAATATGATTCGATTATTCCTCCTGATAATGAGTAATTTAAGAATGAGCAATGCTATAATGCTAAAGGAATGAAACGTTATAAGTTCTAAAATTAAATTCTTTAGGCATTTATAATATACAAAATTAATAAAACCGAGAAGACTTTAGCATAGACTCTTAAAGAAAACACCACGCTGAGCTGATTTCTTTAAATCTCTGTGGTGGTGGACAATCTGAATAACATAGAAATAATCTAGCCAAAGTACTTTAGAAAATAGTTAATAGGATGAATGGTTATCGAATTGGATTTCGAGACTTTGAAAAAATGATTGATCCAACGATAGACAAATTCATTAGGTTAATTAATAAACAATTAGAACAGTTGTTAAAACTTTATAACAACCGCAAATGTAAAGCTATGTCCTTGGTATGAGGATTTAGTGAACCAAATATTTGATAATAAGAGTTAGAGAAAGATTCCAAGGACGTGTGCCCTATATTTCATCCCTCGACAAGCTAATTTTAAAGGTGCGGCAACGTCATAAATTAAATATGGTTCTTGTTGAAAGCGAATCTTGAAATGAACGTGCGGAGTTGAGGTAAAAGCAGATTTTGACATTTGTAATGACCACTTGTACTTCGATAAGATGCATTCTATTATTAATAAGTATTACTGTAGTTTGTAAATTTATAGCAATTAATGTCATTCTATATTTTAGAGCCAAGTGATAATAAGATTTGAATTTGATCTTTCAGCATTTAAGGAATCAAACGTTTCTATTAATCAGACCTTTTTGTGATGAATATAAACCATTAATCCGAACCGAACAATGGCAGAATTTAAATATACATTACAACAGCATGTCAACCTAAATACATTAATAATGATGAAATGCGATTATCTAAAAGGCCATGAGATCGTCCTGTGGAATTTGGATTAACTTTGGTACGACGGAAATAAAAGTCACTGTCAGAAACGAGTTAACAAACGAATCATATCATACGACTTTTGAATTGGATATTAGAAGATACAGTAAATAGTAATTATTACATTATTATAACATTTTTTTTTAAAAAACATTATAATTACTATATAGTTAATAACTAATTAATAACTAGTTAGTTGCTAACTAATAATTATAATGTTGTAATTATGTTTTTTTTTTAAAAACATAACCACAACATTATAATTACTAGTTATTAACTAGTTATTAGCTAGTAATTATAATGTCGTAATTATGTTTTTTAAAAAAAATGTTATATAATATAATAATCACTAGTTATAAACCCATTGTAGACCCATTATCTGAAAAAATCCTTTAGACATGTTTTAAAAACATTATTTGCTAGTTTTAAACCTATTATCAATTTTTTGCAAGTTTCTGTAAAGATAGTAATAATAATAAATAATAATATAACATGGATAAATCTATTTGTAACAGCCTGTTACACGCTTATTTGTAACAGTTTGCTTATAACTCAAAATTTTACTAAGATAATCTCTTTTGCGTTACTAACGAAAAATGATCCTCTCGCAATTTTGTATTAATCTTGATACTAGCTTTAAGCCCAACCTAACCTAACCCTAACACTAACTCTAACACTAACCCTAACACTAACCCTAATGCTAACCCTAACACTAACTCTAACACTAACCCTAACACCAACCCTAATGCTAACCCTAACATTAATAGGATGTTACAAATAAGCGCGTAACAGGCTGTTACAAATAGATTTTTACATATAACATTATAATAATAAAAAAAGAAAAATTTTAGATTATGATCACACAGTTCACTTTGCAACATCCTAATATTTTATATAAATAAAAATCTGTGGTGAATTTTGTAGTAAACAGGATTATACCAAATATTTCAATTTTATACTAAGCAAACCCTTCCTATATTTAATAAAAGTTATAGAGAAGAGAATTTAGATAAAAAATTCTATCAAATAATTGCTAAAATATATTTTTTAGAAAATTTAAAATGCCTAAAATTAAAGCTACACAAAATTTTTTAAATTTAAGCAAAAATATTTTACTAACTACTTTATAAATTTTAATTATATGATCTCTACAAATTTGTAAATTTAAGCCATAAAAAAATTTACTACTGTAAATTAATCAATTAGATGTCGAGATATCTTTGCTAAAAGTTTTAAAAAAGCTTTAATTTTATAGATTTATGAATTATTTTAAAACTTTAAATGAAGATATTCCAAACTAATGAAATTTAATAAATTTTATTATTTAAATTCTGTATTTGTAAAATTTAATAAAGTAAGCTTTTATTAAATTTTATCAAGTAATTGTTAAGATGCAGTATCTTCATTTGTATTTTAAAAATCGTATTTATTTTAATAATTTGAATTTAATAACAGGTGATTGGCTAAATATATCACATGACTATAAATTGGTCAATGTACAATGCACAAATGCATTTATGTCAGGATTTGATTGCACAAACTAACTACTAATATTGCACATGTGTATACAAATTTTATTTTATATGCACATATTTATTATAAATTATATCTCTGAATGATACCAACGCTATAAAATTATATATCTTATATTTTTGGTTAATTTTCGGAATATTTTGGAAATTTAAACTCAACCTAACTCGTATTTTATGTTCATTATCCTTTTGGAACTTTTCGGACTATATTCTCTTTATATTTAGACTAAATTATTGTGTAATAAATTTTATAATTTTTCTTGCACGTTATATTTTGCGCAAGCTCCTTATTTAAAATTAACTGCAAACTTGTGCATATACATTTAGAACTTCTCTTCACAAAAAAAAAACTACTTGCGCATATGCATCTTGTGCAATGTAATTTTAAACACTGGTCCAATGTCGAGTCCAATGCCTAGGCCCAACACTACAGTAAACATATTGCCGCGAAAACAAAAAGGCACATATCTCGTGATCTGCTCACGTTTTAGCCGCCATTATGACTGAAATTCTCTCCTCTATAACTTTCATTAGAAGTAGAAGGGAGGTTTACTTAATATAAAATCGATTTGTCCTTAGGGAACCGAGATTCCAAAAAAGACAAAAATACTTAGTAACATATTCCCACAGTTTACTATTTTTTTTCACTGTTTCCCGTGCGGATCACGTGAATTCCCGCGAATACCTATTTTAGAAATGAAAGAATCTTATTTTATTACTAAGGGACAAATAATGATTTTGCATAGCGTCGATTTCGAAGAGTGGCAGTATTATATATTAAACCCATTCTGTTTGGCGCAAAAGGATAAAATAATTTTGTGTGATGGCACAATTAAAGTTATTATTATTGTTTTTTTTTTATTATCTAATATCAATTTAAGGCGTGTGTACGTACGTATATTAATAATATACCAGCTCTTTAACCCTCGTGATTAATGATGTGCCACGTACTGTACTATACGTACTGTACTGTACGTACTGTACGTACTGTACGCTAAAATTTTGACAGTCATTTTATAAGCTCTGAAGTTTAGGCCATAAAACTTATAAGTTCCTAAATATTCCGAACCTATTACGGAACATTCCGAAATTACGGCATAAAAAAACATTTACTATACGTACTATACGTACTGTACGAACTGTACGTACTGTACGTACTGTACGCTAAAAAAATCCGAGTATCATATAAATGGCACATCACTACATAGGACGTGTCGGATAAATTAGATGGCAACACGGCTTTACTGCGCAGAGATAAATTATGTCTTGTTATTTTTTACATAGAACATTTTGTAGTACGGTCAACCCTTTTTAAATGCACCCTATAGGGCCAAAATTTCAACAATACAGTATGCATTGCAAAAAATAATAAGAGTAAATGCATTTTTTAAAGGTCACGTGCATACTGTATTGGACCAGAGTTTGATGGTGCGCTTAGGGAGGTTGTACATTTAAAAAGAATGCATTTAATGAGATCTCACTGTACGCACGTACCAAATTTCTGGTTTAATTTGTGATAAAATTGATATATAAACAAATGCACTAAAGTAAGTAACTAATATAATTAACTCTCTTCAGTGCTTTCAATCAAAAATAAAGTTAAGTCATGTCAATTTATATTCTAGCTTTAGTTTTCTTACCCTACATCATATACGTACGTCATAAACGTTATGAACGTATTAAATTACTGGTAGAAAAATATTCATCCGTAAAAAATAATCATAAAGCAGCTTTTGAAGTTACGCATGTTACTTCTAAATTAGAATTTCCTTTCATTTCTTTAAAATCTTTAGAATTTGCATTTTTCAGAGTTTTAGGAATCCCCAGCATATCAAAAATAATTAGCAGTACAGGAGAAATGGTATACCGATGTGGTAAACGTTATGATGATACTGATTTAATTATAAGAGAATTTTGTGAAAATCCACTGGATAAGGTTTGCTGTTAAGGATTCATTTAATTTCTTATATCTGTATGACTAATTAATATTTTATTAGTTACTATTACATAATATAAATGACAATTCTTGGAACTTAGTTGTAAGTTATATCAAAATTTGATTTGCACGGCACTGTAACTTATGGGTATTGAATTTCCAGTGCTCTATTATACTATGAAATAGAAACTATTGAAGGACTTCATTATACACATCACAGTCAAACCTTTCTGAGAAAATCCGATATTAGCTTTTAATGGGTTGGTATGCTAAAATATTAAAATTATATCATGTGTACTAATTGGATTACTCATATCATTGAGGCAGAAATGCAATCAATAATGTTTTATTTAAGTTTATATAAACATTAAAGAAAAAAAAGGATCTCGTCTTTAAAAGTATATACTATAAGTTATTCAATTAATCTTAATGAACATGCCATTCCTTGTCATGTAAAAACATATATTTACTCCCATTATACCAGACAAGCTAATCTAACCATCTTTTCATTTAATAAAACTGCTTTTTGAGATATTACTAATCTAATTTACTTTTAATTTGTTAGTACAAATCAGGAAACGTCTCATACCATGAAGTGATCACGACACAATCTTCATGTATGAGAGGTATAGTAGCTGCATTACAATTTCAAATTATAGTGACCCTCGATCTGGTCTATATAGTTTTTTTTTCACTTCCAGTAGAGCTTATATTTTTTATTGGATTTGGATCATTAAAATATAATTTAAGATTTATAAACTAATAATTTTCAAATTTCAGATGATTCTATTTTTTTTTCCTTTATGTAAGCCAAAAAGATACGATCCAATCATACAGGGCCAATCTGTTCTACCTATTAAATTCTAATTACTACTTTGCACCATAGTAACATTGGTACAATTTATTGGAAGAAAATCTGGTGGAATGCAAGACTTGTAATTTTAATAACAGTTGCAATTCATATTGTCAAAAATATGGCAATTCTTATTTTATTATTTCACAAGGAAGGAATACATAAAATAACGAATATTCACAGTA